AGGAGCTGATTTTGTGCCTTATGAAATGGCCGCTGCTCTGTTAGGGGTTTGCCTTGCCTCCTGGAGTTCGGGGAGCGCCGGCAGAGGAAAAGAGCTTTTGATGTAGGAAAACTTCTTTCCGCGATGTGGTATATGGTAATTGCGTGTGACATTCTGCAGCGGGTAATCGGCACAATAGCCTACAGAGCGCCACATGTAGCTCTGAATGGCTTTATCCTTGAATTTGGCTAATGGTCTATTAAATCATCCAAACCGATGTCCAGTTAAAAACATCTCAAGGTGCAACTGCCTGGTTTCGGTATTCCAAACTCAGGTTAAGTTGCCCACATTCTGAGAGGTTTTACCTTGTCCTGAGAACCATACTGGTTTTATACCAAGGTCCATATAAAGTAAAGCCATTCTGTGAGTGTTTCGGGTTCTGTGATTTGCTTGTTATTTTAATTTATCTAACATTAGCTAATAAAATTGTATGTATTCTGTCTCTGCTGGTACTGCTGAACCTAGTTGAAGAGAGGGTTTAAGTACAAACTGAGAGACCAAGAGCCATTTTAGATGTAAGAAAAAGAGTAGCATTTGCAATAACTAGGTTTACTGCTTTTCCCTTTTTATTATGAAGGTGCTGGTTCCGTGTTAATGTGTGTTTTTTCTTTGATAGGGACTACTGTAGGTAGAGAAATGTAAACTTGCTGTACATGCAGGAAACTTCCTCATCATCCGATACCGCGGCATTTAATCAGGTAACTTCAAGCTTAAAACAGCTCCTTAGACACCCCAATTACCAGACTACCACCCACATTGCACATTGTCTTGTTTCTCAATGGCCGTCCCCCCTTCTGCTTTCACAAAGTGCCCTCAGAGTTCCGGTATACCTTAAGCCCAGTCCTAGCTCTCAACTAGGGAATAGTCCAGGCTCTCAAGGTTCAAGGCTGGGAATGTCTGAACATTTCGTGGGGAGTAGTTTATTGGGGATCAGCACTGATATAGTTCACCAAGTTCTCTGTCCTCAGTCTCATTCCACGCAACAGTACAGGTAGTCCTCAACTTACGACCATAGTTGGGACCAGAGCCTCTTTCACTAAGTGATACAGTCGTTAAGTGAATCACCACAGTCGTTAAGCGAATCTGGCTTCCTCCATTGACTTTGCTTGTTGTACATCCCCTGGGAAGGTTGCAAATGGCAATCTCATGACCCTGGAATGCTGCAGCTGTCATAAATACATTCCTGTTGCCAAGTGCCCAAATTTTGATCACATAACCATGAGGATGCTGTGATGGCTATAAGTGCAAGGAAAAGTCAGTTTTTTCTGCGCCATCATAACTTGAAACGGTCATTAAACAAATGGTCGTAAGTCAAGGACTACTTGTAAAAGGAATACCCACCAAATTTTTAAAGCCACTGAGATTGCTAACTATCCTGTTAATCCAGACAGATCTGAGATAATAAAATAAATAAGTAAATTTAAGAAGAAAACTTTTGCAGCCTACATTAATCCCTCTACACTACATTAATAGGTTATTGTAATTTTTCTTTTTCCACTTTCAATTTTACTCACATTTTTAGTTTTCTGGGTTTTTTAAATATTTGTTTATAGGTCATCTAACTAGTTAACAACTGTAAATAAGTTACCATTAAAGCAACTCCAAAAGAACCAACCAAACCAAAGCAAATGATCAAAGTAGAATTTTTGCAAGAAAAAATAGCAATTACTGTTGATTGTTTGCTTAGTTATGCATAAGCGTGACATTCTGCCTTCCAACTTCCTGAAATTGATTGAAAAAATAAGTTCAATTTTTTTCTATACACAATACCTGTGTCTTCAGTTGTAGTAGTAAAAGATATGTGCAACCCTGATTTTTCCACATCAAATGATACTTCGTCATCAAAGTATATTGAAATCTGTGCAGTAATTTTTATATATCTATTTTTTTCCTTAGAGGTAAGATACACAAATGAAAAAATGCCACTTTTTGGGAAAATTGTTGTTATCAAGAGAAATGGGACTGATGGAACTCATTTTCCACTCACTGCAAACTCTTGTTTGTTTGGAAGGTAAGATTTTAAATTGTGTAAGGAGTTTATTTGTGTAAGATTTTCATTATATAATTTGTGATGTTTGTCAAAGTAATGTCCTTTTTATAGCAGAATTTCAGATGGTGTCGTAACTAACTGCCTCACTACTTCATGGTGACTTCTATATAGTTTATAGTAGGCCATCAGTGCAGTGTATATTTCACAGAATGGATCAAATTCTGCTTTAGTATGTATCATTTAGGCAATATATTCTTCAATTTACTGGATTTCCATTAGTAGCGGATATCCCCTCCTCAGTTACTCCGTTAAAACAAAATTTCACTGTATTCTAAAGATTGGATTTTCTTGAGAATTGGCAGAAAAAATACTTTACTATAATATTTACTATGTATTTTTCTTCCATTTTTGAAATTCTCCTTTAAATTAGCGCAGCATGTAAAGTTCTAAACTTATTAACTAAGGGTTTTCAGTCACTCAGACAGGATCTAATAATCGGAAGCTGTTTTCTTATAATTTAAATTCCGGGCTTGCATTCTGGGATGATGGTGTTGTTTCAGGAATATGGAGAGCTATCATACCTTCCTGGTATCTTATTTTTCCAAGACTGAACAGTCCCATTACTTCAATTTTTTTTTAATAGGTCTTAGTTTTTAGTCCTCTAATCATCCTTGTTTCTCATTTCTGAATGTGTGCTAGTTACTGTAAGGCTGAGTGGGGTTCCCAGAACTGAACCCAATACTTGATATTCAGAATAAAGTGGAACAATTGCTTCCTATGTTTTAAAAACTTTCTTTCTCACGATAACAGTCTAAAACTGCATTTGCTTTTTGTGCAGTAATGTGATATTGTTGATTTATATTCAGCTTGTAAATGAACTACTATTATAAGATACATAGTACTTATTGTCCACCCATGTATTCTCAGCTCTAAACCTGTGAATTTGGTTTGTTTCCTAAGTGAAGAATTTTGCATTTGGCTCTGCAAAATTCTTCTTTGATGAGGAACTATTGATGAGCACACTTTAAGTATGATTTTTGAGTAAATTATGTATTCACTTACCTTTCATGCCATCCAACTCACAGTTAACTGGCTTGCTAATCAGAATGTCATGGGATACTTTATACATGTTCTGCTAAAATCAAGATATACTACCCAATAAAAATGAAGTTAGTTTGGCAAGAGATAATTTTCCTATGGTTTTCAAGCTGATTACATTTTTTCCCTAGTATTTTCCAAGATATTGATTTCAGACTGAATGGGGTGTAATTAAATGTGATTTACTGGACTTTTAAATTAATTTTAAAGCACAGATTTTTGGGAAAAGAGATGAATTATTAAATTTATAGGCAGGTGTCTAAATGTAAGGTTAATTCAGATTATTTTAAAATAATTTGCTTAACCATCATTTATTTCTCAATGGGCTTGTAGGTTTTTTACTACAGTACTGTCCAAGATGAGCCAAAGACCAGTGCGGTTTATGTCTGTTCAGAGTTGCATTTCCCTGATCTGATTTATTTCAGATGTATTAGCAGAGGAAGAAAGGCTCACCAAACAGTGCAGGAATCACTGAGAAACATATGAAACATATTTATAGACAGTGCAAGTTGCAATTTATAGTATAATTTGTGTCCCTTTACTTTGTAATAATAAGGAATAGATATTGAAATAATCACCTTTCTGAAAATATGCCATTGGGTTTCCCCCCCCAACAGAGAGTGTGGTTGTATTTCAAACCTAATAGACTCTTTCCATACGTTCCGCAACATTTTGATTCATTTTGTATGAAGGATGGCCTGAAAATAAAACATTCTTCAAACTGACCTGCAGTGGGCTATACTTTGTTCTATTATACCTCTCTGTATCACAGAACTATAAACGTTGGCATTTCCTTCTTAAGGGTATATAGGAAGTCCTAAACAAGCCTTGCTTTGAGGCTTTGAAATAGCATTTTTTCTGGATATTCATCTTTTTTTATTGGTTTTTCATTAAAAAAGGTCACATTACAAGACAGTTCATTTAGGATATACCAAAAATTAAATTATTTACAAATACACAATATATGCAATCCACTATTGTTTTATATGAATGCCTATTTAAAAAATTAAAAAAGCTGGGTCTAATTTAAAATTAAATACGTCTTTTAGAAGCTCCTAAAACTAAGGTTGCCTCAATGCATCTTCAGCAAAAGTTGCCTTGTTACACTAGGTGGAAATGAGTCAGAGAGAGGACTAGAGATCACAACATGTTTTAAGAGAAAGTATATAGTTACATAATCTGCAATTATAAACTTGTAAATTATTTGATTATGTTTTAAAGGAAAAAAGAATGTGATATTCGAATCCAGATGCCTCAGGTTTCTAAAGAACATTGTAAAATTGAGATCAATGAAAATAAGGAGGTATGTATTATTATTTTTGGTACTTGTACAATCCTAATATTTCTGGTACTTGATTTTTATTTATTGAACTGGATATACATATTTTATACCTTGGTATTTTTAGGCAGTGCTGTTTAACTTGAGTTCTACGAATCCAACACAGCTAAATGGGAATCAATTTCAGGATCCCAAACACTTAAATCATGGGGATGTACTAACAATTATTGATCGTTCTTTCAGGTATGTAACAATGATATAGCTAAATATGAGTGTGCTAGAAATAGGCTGTGTCAGCCATTGCTTTTTACAAACCTAAAGATCAGGGAGTTTAAAATGATTTGATTCATAGGGAAACTCCCCAGACAAGAAAAAGGATTATATAAAGAGTATCTGAACTAGATAATACAACTAGAAAGGAAAGGAATAAACATAGGACATAGTTGAAGTCATGAGGTCAAATGTGAGCAAGGGAGAGAAGCAATTAACGGTTTTATGTTAGAATTTGTATGGTAAAAAGGTATGTTTGTGGGTAGTAGATATTTTCTGCTCCCTCCATTCCAAACATTAAAAGGACTTCACATTTACTCTGAGGATGTTTTGAGTAAATTTTACCAATTCAAAATTCTAGTCAGATGTTTTAGCCTTTTAATTTCTCACATTATTCTTAAGATATGGAAAGAAGTAAAACTTAGTATAATTCTGCACTTTACTAGTGTTGGAGTTGGAAACAGTGACAATTTTGAATAAAGAGGAGGATTTAATAACTTCTTGAAGTCTTAATTACTTAAAATTGGATTAATTTTAGATTTAGCAATGTTTGTACTTCAACAGGTTTGAATATCCACCTCATCCACTTCCTCAGAAGAGACTTTCTAGATCTCAAGAGAAGGAAACATTACAGGTAAAATCAAAATCATTATCTTTGCCTTGTTGGTGTTAGGAAAGTTAAGAAATTTTCTCTGGCCTGTTACTCCCATTGTTTTCTACAAGAAAAAACAGAGGGAGTTTGTGCTGTAACTTGACACTTGATTTATGAAAGGTTATTAATAGTTTCTCTACACTGTGATGAACTGGGTTAGGGTTAAGTTAACCAATTAAAAGTAAGACAAAATCTGTAAGATTTTAGGATGAACTTAAGAATGGGTGTAAAAATGAAACCCTTTAAACCTTGAGAAGGGAAGGGAGAGTCTGTTAAGTCCAGATTTACATTATTTTAATCAAATTATGTCAGTTACATAATTAGACGAGTGATTGTTAAACTGTTAAAGAATTGTTAAAGAAGTTTGTTAAACTGATCTTTTACTGTAGTTTTATATCAGCGGAATGTTGAAAGAGGAGGCAATAAATGTGTCCCTGAGATTTAGACAGAATGGCATCAGTTTTTGGATGGTCTGAATCTAATCTTCTTAATTAGAATTTACCTCAGCAGTATTATTGAAAGCTTAGATTCTGCATGATGTATCTGCGCAGCACCTATATTCACAGAACCACTGTAAATATTAGTTCTTATACATAGTAACTTAGTGCTTTTGAATGGCGCCTCTGGGAATTCATGGATGCTCACGAGTTTTTGGAAAGCACAGTAATGCTTTACCCAATAGCTGTCCATACTGAATTCTAAAATGTTCGTTTTTTAAAGTTTTGAGTTAGTCCTGAGAATGGTGGAGCGCATGGTAGTCTTGCTGCAGAGAAGAGGCGAATGAAATATTGCAGTGTATTTCAGTGGTTTATTCTAATAAGTTACCAATGGAAACTTGCTTTACAAGAAAAAAAAAATGGCAAGCTTAAAAGAAGTATTAAATTCCTTGCTCTGTTGCATTCTTTGCAAATTTACAGATTCTTCATGTTCAGCATATGCAACAGGTGGAGTTGCTGCATCCTCAAAACTCAGATTATAAAAGCTCTCCAATTACTGGTTGGTAAAAAGTTTGTTTGCTTTTTATATAAATCTATCTATCTCCATTCAATCATGTCTGATTCTCGGAGACTGGCTGGACAAGTCCCTGAGGTTTTCCTGACAAGGTTTTTCAGGAGTGGTTTGCCATTGCCTCCTTCCTAGGGCTGAGAGAAAGTGAGTGGCCCAGGGTCACCCCGCTGGCTTTGGGCCTAAGGGGGGGACTAGAAGTCATGGTCTCCCGGTTTCTAGCCTGGAGCCTTAACCACTACACCAAACTGGCTCTCTATCATTATATAAAGGACTGTTTTTACTAATAAAAAAAGATGTACTTAGAAGTGAGTAGTAAAACAGATCAAAGCAAACATTGGGAATTTGCTGTTAAAATACATGAATGGATATGGTTTAATCTGTGATTTGAAGTTTTTTCTGAGCTTGTAAGTGACCCAGTCTCTAAGTACACTCTAAGTCATGATAATTGTTGAGAAACAGGCCATTGTTAAAATTATATTAGAAATATTTCACAGCTGGTTATGTTTTAGAGAGTAACCCATATATTTTCCTATCAATGAAATAAATTTTATAAAATCGTTTATGAACACATCTGCTATTCCTTAAACTTCTCTAATCAGAACCATGCTTAAGGAATGAGAGAGTGGTAAGGTCTGTTGAAGAAAAACTGATTATTATATCATTATTACTTTTAATATATTTTGCAAATTGCAAATTATAGTCTGCTTGCATATGCTTATACTACATTGTTAGGCATCTACAAATGAAATGTAACTTATTTTTGTAAGTTTTGATTCTTTGAACCTAAATGATAGGATTGTGCAAGTCCTTTGAAGGAGGTGCCTTGTAATGTATGCAGGTTTGTACAAAGCACCTCTTTAGATCAGTAAAGTAGCCATATAGTTTTCCAGGTTCATGCAGCTGCTACATAAACTGCTTCTAGCTATTACCACTGAGAACAATTTCAAAGAGAAGTGGCTGGGCAGTCACAAGCATGTGGAGGTTGTTGGAACAAGTTTACAAAGCTGTTGCATGAGACTGGAAAAAATGCTTTCTGATTTGAAAAGAGATGCTTTGTACACACCCCTATGTGTTGTTAAGCACCTTTTTTTAAGGACTTGTGGAGCTCTGCTTAATAATTCTTTGAAAATAACTTTACTTTCTGATTAGTACTTTATCTGTGTAGTACTTCAAAAATACTTTAAATTTTATTCAAGAAAACATTTAAATTTTTTTTTAAATGTGCTTATTTTGTATTTCTGTAGGCAAGAAGCTTGAAATTCATCCTCTTAGCAGCAATGAGAAAAGAACTCAAGAACAATACAGTACACCTGAATTTAAGTATAAAATGCACAACACTGAAGAAACAAATGAAATGTCTCCTTTTAGCAAACTTTATGAATTAATGAAACATGAAGGTGGTACAGACAATATAAAGGAAGATACTGGTAATGAGACCTTGCTGGAAGATGTATTACATTCAACATCTAGGAGGTCCTCAGTGAGTCAAGCAAAGCTGACTAAAGGTGAACATTCTGAAGATAGCAAAATTCAAGAAAAGGGTGGTATAATAGCAAATCCAGTGCCAATACTCTTTGAAGAGAAGAACTCTGAAAAATCATCAAGTATTCAAAGCTGTGGTATGAAACAGAAACAAGAGTGTGACGGTACAAATCAGTCAGATGTCAAGGACATAGAATATAATGAAGTGGGGAAAAGCCAAATAATCAAAAGTGCTAGTAACTATGCATGTTTTAAAACAAATCGGCAGAATGCACAGCATTTCCCTGAATCATGTTGTATAGTGTCATTGGACTATACAGAAAAGGCTAGATGCCTTAACAAGATTAATTTAACAGATGCTTTCACATCTGTAGAAAATATTTTGCCCAAACCAAAGTCTAGCAGAGATTGTACTCAAAGTTATTCCAGTCCATGTTCTAAAAACTCTCGAAGATCTTCAAAGTCCAGAAGGTCATGGGTTGAAATGGATTCACTGAACAGAACAAAGAGCTCTGGAGAAATGGAAGAGCATTCTGTACAAATTAGTACAGAGCAACCTGAATCTGATGTTTTGATTGAAAATGTATATTCTAAAACAAATGAAAATAGGGAACTGGTCACAGAAACAACACAAAATCTGAAAGATTCAGAAGATGGAAATTCTAGTACTGTTTTCAGTTCACTTCATTTTAATACTAGTAAAAACTGCAATAGCAGTATTGAACTAAATAAAAATGTTTCAAAAGAATATTCTTGTGTAGAGGCAATAGGTACAGACAAATCAGTAATAATCCCTGCAGATCCTTCCCAAACTAGTGGAATAATGGCAAATCAGATACCTGAAAAAAACCTGGGAACAGGCTGTCCTACAAATGAGAATAAAATAAAAATATCAATAGAAGGCCATGAGCAGAATGTTAATATGAAAAATAACATACCTGCTTTTTCCAGTTCTTATGAAAGTAATGTCCGAATATCAGCTAAGGATGATGCTGTTTTTGAAATGAATTTGTCATCTCCACTTAAAGTAATCAAAAAGTCAGGTAAATATAATTACTTTCTATACCAAAAATGTTATAATTGTTATTTGCGGTCTCTAGTAACTTTTGGTTAAATAAAAATAATTTTGTTTATTGTTTTTGTTAACTAGCTTTTCTGTCAGTAATTGGTGTGGTTACCATAAACACAGAGGTATTAGTGCCTTGGTTAAGATGGAAAATACTGATATTAAAATTTTAAAAATTAAAAAAATTTCAAATTAATTGTATTTTGAGTGCCAACTTTTAAATTTTATTAATGTTATAAGATGATGTGTTCACTTTGTTATAATTTACTCTTCACTCATAGAGGCTAAGAAATCTCAAAAGCGTAAAGGTACAGAACTAGATTTACTAGTCCAACCATTTGGAAAGAGGAAGAGAGTTTCTTTTGGTGGCCAACTGAGTCCTGAACTCTTTGATAAGCGTTTACCTCCAAACTCGCCACTTAAAAAGGGGGCCATTCCAGCAAGACTAAGCATGCCGTTTGGAAACTCACCTCGAGCAGTTCTGAAAAAGACTTCAGAATTAAGGCAGGCTCTAATAAAGGTACCTGATTGATTAATTGATTGAACAACTGATTGGTAGGAATATCTACATTGTAACCAAAGAGTTGCTCTTGTTCTCATGTCAATCTGTATGCATATGTTTATCTAAACTTCACTTTTCTTCCTCAAACTGGAAACTTTGTATTTTAAATAATTGTTCTTTATAAATGTGTTCAAACAATTGATCAGAAATTTTAAATCATACGGGACTTAGAAATGTTTTTTTGGGGGGAGGAAGGATGTAAGCTATATCCTTAGGAGATCAAAACTACCCAATTTTTTTTTAAGTATATCTCCCCTAGAATTCCTTCTGCAAAGGGCTGATGGTAGATTGCACCTCTCTGAGTGCTTCTTTCCCCCTGTTTAATGATTTTGCGAGTTTATTTCTAAATCTGTTCATAAAATATTTGATGCATATTTTATTGTTAGAAACTCCCAAAGCAAACATGGGTAAGTTTCACATATAAAAAAACTGAAATACTATCAAGCAGAGATACAAGTAGCCATCTTTGGCTATTATCTGTGGATGACCTACAAATGTAAATATATTTTGGTAGGCTTATGTAATGTATTATTTGAAATTAGAATTCATAATATTGACTTCTTTTACCTTTAAATTAGAGCATTTTCAGAGTAATAAAGAACAAAATTCATTTTAAAAGCTTAGCAAATATTTATTTGAGAAAAAACAAATTTCATAAAAAGATTTTCACAAAAGAGTGGAGAACTTGAAATGTTTGTAGAAACTTGGAAAGTAACAAATGCATCCAGAACTTTCTCACTCTGGAGACAGTGTTCTAAGAAAGCCTCTTCCAGGGCTAGACTGTATCTGGAACATTATGAATCACTCCTTGCTCTGGATGATTTACTTCCAGAAAACTGCCAGACCATCTCCGGGTTGGGCGGATCACTGTGGTCAGTATGAAGAATGGGACATAATGCCTAAAAGTAGCTGTCTCCTTTTTATATACTGCTGCTTCACATCTTTTCACAGGTTCATAAAGTAGCTATGTTATAGATTCGTAAAGAAGTTAATTTTAGTTTATGCTGAAAGAAATTAGCAAATGAAAAAGGTGCAGGAATAGGTATAGTGAGTATTTATTTGATCTTTATACCATCACAGTCTTGTGACAGTCAGTGGATACAATATTGCAGTAAAAGCAACAGAATCAAAACAATATACAATCCAAATTGCAAAATCAAAACCGAAGTGGGAGAGAAGAATAACAAGCTGATGTTATTGAAAGGCTCTTTAAAAAAATCTTAATTTTAAATAACTTCCTAAACTGTGGAGTCCCTGGGATTCTCTGAGCTTGGTTGTTTTTTTTGCAGATCTTTCGTTACCTGGCTAGGTAACATCTTCAGTGCTGGAAGGGAGTAGGGTTTGCTCTCTGTTACTTTCTAAACTATTACAGAGGGATCCAGTTTGTTCTCAGAGGGAACCACTTCCCATTGTGTTGGTGTTGCTACAAAAAAGAAAGAGCCCCTTCCTACATGATCTAACAGGGTGGGTGGAATCTGGTTAGAGGAGGCTCTCCCATAGATACTAAAGTGCCAAGTTATGAAGGACATTATGGGTTAACACCAGCACTTTAAATTGTACTTGAAGCTGAACTAGTAACCAGTGCAGAGTATGCAATATAAGTGTAATATGCTCCCAACATTGGAAACTAATTAAGACACGTGCTGCCCCACTCTGGACTAATTGTAATGTCCTCATAGTCTTCAAAGGCAGCCCCCTACAAAGTGCACTATAGCAGCCATATGGTTTTCTTGTGAAAACCTAATTGTTCAGTTCGTTTTTCTGACAAGTTCTGAAGGAAAGAAGGAGACATGGTTTTTGTTCATAAAAAACTAATGTTTAATTTTTTGTGTTACCTATTTGTTTTTCTGCAGGGTTCCTCTGAGAGGAAGCAACAGGAAAATACTGTGCCAAAGCAGGCTGCCTCACATAGTGTGCTGCAAAGACAAGAATGCTTCTTTGTTCCTCATGTTGCAAGCCAATCTTCCAAGGATGAAAAAGCCACTGCACAAGAAATGCATGTGAATAGGTTATCCACTGAAGTTAAAAAAACAGAATGTGACGAACCAGAATCTAAAGCCCTTCCGTCATTGAGGAGGAGCAAACCAAATACGCCAAGGAGAAGTTCTATGCTTGGAAAAGGTGGAGCTATGGATGAAGAAGTTACTGCACAAGAGATGCATGTGAATAGCTTATTCACTGAAGTTAAAAAAACAGAATGTGACGAACCAGAATCTAAAGCTGCTTCATCATTGAGAAGGAGCAATCCAAATACTCCAAGGAGAAGTTCTATACTTGGGAAAGGTGGAGCTATGGATGAAGAAGTCACTGCACAAGAGATGCATGTGAATAGCTTATTCACTGAAGTTAAAAAAACAGAATGTGACGAACCAGAATCTAAAGCTGCTTCATCATTGAGAAGGAGCAATCCAAATACGACAAGGAGAAGTTCTATACTTGGAAAAGGTGGAGCTATGGATGAAGAAGTTACTGGACAAGAGATGCATGTGAATAGCTTATTCACTGAAGTTAAAAAAACAGAACGTGATGAACCAGAATCTAAAGCCCTTCCGTCGTTGAGGAGGAGCAAACCAAATACGCCAAGGAGAAGTTCTATGCTTGGGAAAGGTGGAGCTATGGATGAAGAAGTTACTGGACAAGAGATGCATGTGAATAGCTTATTCACTGAAGTTAAAAAAACAGAACGTGATGAACCAGAATCTAAAGCCCTTCCGTCGTTGAGGAGGAGCAAACCAAATACGCCAAGGAGAAGTTCTATGCTTGGGAAAGGTGGAGCTATGGATGAAGAAGTCACTGCACAAG